TGGTGCTATCTAGCATGATTCTATCTTTGCTGTTAACAGTGCCCCAGTTTTTATTCAGGAAACCTCTCCTCCCATACACTACATATAAGGAAGCTCCAAGGGTTGGGCATGCATTTTAAGTTTGAAGTACTCAGCCCAATCTCATCATCTGGCTACCTATTGTTCACAGATGAAATGAGTTCTTAAATTTGTTCTAGTTCCAGGGAAGCCCAAGGTACTATTTATAAGTGTGAAAGCGACACTCTTTCCAACCGAACATGACCATGCAAGAATGACATTGGGCCGGTGCCGCGGCTCACTAGGCTAATCCTCCACCTAGTGGCGCCGGCACACCAGGTTCTAGTCCCGGTCAGGGCGCCGGATTCTGTCCCAGTTGCTCCTCTTCCAGTTCAGCTCTCTGCTATGGTCCGGGAGTGCAGTGGAGGATGGCCCAAGTGCTTGGGCCCTGCACCCCATGGGAGACCAGGAGAAGCACCTGGCTCCTGGCTTCGGATCAGCGCGGTGCATCAGCCGCAGCGCACTGGCTGCGGCGGCCATTGGAGGGTGAACCAACGGCAAAAGGAAGACCTTTCTCTCTGTCTGTCTCTCTCACTGTCCACTCTGCCTGTAAAAATAAAAATAAAAAAAAAATAATGACATTGTGGGAGTTTCAACAAACCACATTGTGACAAAGAAAAGAGAACCAGGGGCCAGTGCTGTGGTGCAGCAGGTTAACGCCCCGGCCTGAAGTGCTGGCATCCCATATGGGCACTGGTTCAAGACCCAGCTGTTACACTTCCAATCCAGCTCTCTGTTGGGCCAGTGGAAGATGGCCCAAGCCCTTGGGCCCCTGAGCCCATGGGGGAGACCCAGAAGAAGCTCCTGACTCCTGGCTTCGGATCGGCACAGCTCTGGCCATTGCAGCCAAATGGGGAGTTAACCATCGGATGGAAGACCTCTCTCTCTCTCTCTGCCTCTCCTCTCTCTGTTTAACTCTGACTTTCAAAGAAATAAATAAATTATTTAAAAAAAAAAAGAAAAGAGAACCAGTCTGAGAAGGCTGTCACTCCACAGGAGGTAGAGCAGAGGATTGATCCCGGTCATATTATCTGAGCTTTTGACTGAACCATACTGAAAGCCAGATAAACTACAAAGGCGTAGGTACTTGAGGCATTAATTTTTTTTTCTATTTTGGGTTGGATTTGTTGTTACCTGCAATAAAATATTCTTAACCAATACACTTGCTTGACATGGTTGAATTCTATTGCTACATCCATAGATTAAACATGTATAGGGCATTCACTACACACATGTAAAATTAAAATTAAATCAATTTGTATATTGTAATGTGTCCAATAATTATTTATACACATCACACAACACAGAAAATGCAAGATAATTTTACCATGGCAGGGCAATACGAAGATGGAAATTTCAAAGACCTTCAAAGCGCATCCTCTTCCCATATTGGAGTGCCTGAGTTTGAGTCCTGGTATCACTTCTGATTCCAGTTAAGGCACATGCTGACAGGAAGAAGGTGCTGGTGGTTGAAGTGGTTGGGGTTGGGTCTCTAACACCCATGTGGGACACCCGGATTGAGTTTTTGGTTCCGAGCTTTGGGCTGATGCAGCCCTGCATGTGGCAGGCACTGGGGAATGAACCAGTAGGTGGGAGATGCATTTCATTTCCTCCCTCCCCCCCATATATATCCTGCCTTTCTCTACTCTCCCCTGCCCTCCCCTACCTTTCTTCCTCTTTCCATCTCCTTCCTTTTTTATCCCTTTTCTTTGCGGAGTATGCAATAATCAGCACCCCCATGCCCTTTTCACTAACACTTAAATCACCTCCTTGTCTTTCGAAAGCCTCAGGAGACCCAATTTTTCTCAGATCTTGGCTATGCCAGAGGATCCCTAATACAGAAACTTATGGTGAACTGGAAAGACCTGTAACTACTTCCATTCCACCCATCACTTGCACTCCTGGGTTCTTTCTTCACTGATATTGGTGGCCTTGAAGCCTGTGAAAATCCTAGGGTCCCAGTGATAAGAGGTGTGAAGTTTCCAGCACACAGTTGACTAAAGGCATTTCTCCCTCCCCTCTGCCTTTCCACAGAACTGACCTTGAGATCATACATACTCTTTCTACATTGTGTTTGCACAAAAATCCTAATAACAGCTTCTTAATTGAGTTTTTGGAACATAATTACCATTCTTTGGGATAAACATTCTAATTATGCTGTCCCCTTATTGGAACAAATAAACTACAGATTTTCTTGTTTACAAAAAGAAAGATGAAAAAGGAAAAAAAAATCATTTGTGGACAAGTGCTTTGTGAAATGCTTTGTTTTGGCAAATTGGACATCAGGAGGCTGGCGCTGCGGCTCACTAGGCTAATCCTCCGCCTTGCGGCGCCAGCACACCGGGTTCTAGTCCCGGTCGGGGCACTGGATTCTGTCCCGGTTGCCCCTCTTCCAGGCCAGCTCTCTGCTGTGGCCAGGGAGTGCAGTGGAGGATGGCCCAAATGCTTGGGCCCTGCACCCCATGGGAGACCAGGATAAGTACCTGGCTCCTGGCTTTGGATCAGCGTGGTGCGCCGGCCGCAGCGTGCCAGCCGCGGCGGCCATTGGAGGGTGAACCAATGGCAAAGGAAGACCTTTCTCTCTGTCTCCCTCTCTCACTGTCCACTCTGCCTGTCAAAAATTTAAAAAAAAAATGGACATCAGGAAAGAATGAGGAACACATATATCTTTCATGTTCCCATTAAATTTCTCATTCTACATTCATTGTCAATGACCTCAGAAAGAAGGCACAAAGAAATATTGGAGGGGAAAAAAGTGATCTCTTCCTCTGAGTTGGGAAGGCTTAGAAGTTACATATAAAATTTGGAGGCTGGAGATCACTTTTTGAGTAATTTTCCCAGTTCAAGAAACTGATACTTACTAACATTGCCCATTTTGACACAAATTAAGACATAAATGAATTTGTTAACACCATTGCAGCATTCATTAAGCAATAAGTTCTGCATTGATATATGCATTTTTTTGTACATGTGTACCCTATAGACACAAACACATTCCATCAAAGTCACTAAGCTACCCTTGTTTATATCCCTTTCATCCTCTATGCTCTGTTCCTACATCTATCTTCTGGATAAAATGGACACTCACAGCAGCTGAATCTTTAGTTGCATGTAAACACTTTGCTTGTTGAGGAGACCAAAAATTATTGATTTATTTTAAAAGTAACCCCACCTGTCTTGTTTTACTACTGAGTTGTCATGCAGGTAAGCAATGTAACTAGATTACAAAAAACATAAGCAGTAGCAATTGTCATTGCAAGATATTAAAGGAGTAACATGATTGCTTCATCAAGAGAGGGAGGCAAGACAAATATAGCAAAATTCCCTATTGCCTCTGTGTAGTCATCACTTAAAAGAAAGAGCCCTGCTTCTTCATGAGTCTCCATACCACAAATAGCCTGAAAGTGAAATGAGTCACCCAAATTCCTCATTAATGCCTTTTATTGCTTATAATATTAAATTAACTAGACAACACATGTCACCACAAGATTCTACCAACCCCTCCAACTATAATCCACAATGACTAAGAGTCAAAGACTTGGACTGGCATTGTGGCACAGTAGGCTAAACCTCCACCTGTGATGCCAGCATCCCACATGAACACACATTCGAGTCTGGGCTGCTCCACTCCCAATCCAGTTCCATCTGCTAATTTGCCTGGGGAAAGCAGTGAAAG